TGCATCTCATATGACGGGCCAAGAAAAAAAAATGACGAATACCTCGAAGTTGATATGGGTCGAAGGGCCCCAATACTTGAGCGCAGCAAGATCGTATGCTCGCGCGGCCTTTTCTTCCATATCATACCCACCTGAAATATTTGTAAACCAGTTGTGAATCATAATTGTCCCAAAAAAAATTCAACATTTCTACATGGAACTATATAATAACAGTTTTGCTATGGAGCCATCGGATGGCTCGGCTTACAGAGCCATCCACAGTTATTCACAAATAGTGTACCGACACGTGTCCTTCAACAAATACACTTTGTACAGATGTCGATACATTAAGTGATTGATGACTCCATAAGAAAACCGGCTCCATAGAATTAACTAATCTTTTTCTTGCCAGAATGTAAATTTCTTACCAAGATACACTAAAGATCATATGATTTGACAGTAATAGCACAGCCAGCAGATCAAAACAAATGAATATGAAACCAAAACACAACAGCAAGAGTTAGTCAAAAAGTTAACAAAAATGGAGAAAAAAACAGGATTTTTTTTTTTTTTTTTTTTGTTTGGGGCTAACCTTGTCTTCCTTTTCTAGTCTGACCCTCCTTCTTGCAGCTGTTGTCCCATAAATGAGCTTCATACCTTCCGGTCCACCGATGCCTGAAAATGACTCGAAAAACAGAAATGAACAGGACAAATCAAATACAACATCATGAACTAGTCACAATAATCAGTAATTAACCATTGGCAATCAAAAACATTAAAAAAAACAAAGACATAAATTAACGGAAGATGCTACGGTCCCGTTACAGAATCATTTTGTCGGGTTTATAACCGTTAGATCATCGTGCAACCGTCAGAGATAGTTGATCTAACGGTTACAAATCTTGACGGAATGATTCCGTAACGGGACCTTAGTATTTCCCAAAATTAACATCACTATATCCTAAGATAGTATTATTTACTGACCTAGTGACCCCTCTGTACTGAGAGGTCCTCTGCCCGAACGTGTCGATGGATTTCCTATGAACAACAGCTTGCTTCGCGTGCCCCATTTTCTCATGGCCCCTCTTTCTAGTCTCGAGGACGGGCACAGAATGAGGATCGGCCGGCCGGGAAGCGGTCACGCAGCTCGACTGGGACCCGGGACTCATCGACAGGCTCAGACAATGCAAATTAGCGTTGTTGTTCGGCCCAGAATTGTAATAATAATAAGGTTGGTTTTGCTGGCTGTAGAAAGCGCTGTCGAGGCTTAAAACCATGGCGTCCAGCTGGTGGATTGGGTAATGGTGGTGGACCGCCGCCGCCGACGATCCACCGCCGGAGAAATTTTCCCGGTGTGAAGCGAGGGGCATTATGGGCAGAGGAGTCTGAAACGGAGAATTTGCAGAGACGCCGTTGACGGGTGGGGCTGTCGAGGTAAGGTAGAAATAGTTTGGAGTACAAACGTTGCTGCTGGGCTCCTCCGTTTTGATGTCGGGAGACGTCAGAGAGAATCCCAGCCAGCTGCCGTCATTGTTAATGTCGGTGATGGCTCCGGCAGCCTCGTCCGCCATTGTTAACGTTGGTGATGAAAAATGGAATGAAATGCGAATTTTGGGCAAATGGGATCTTTTTATACGGAGATGAATCAAGAATGTGGCTGTGATTATGATATCATTTTCAAGCTTATGAACCCATCCATGGCTGCACTGTTATTAAACCCCTACTGACATACCTTAGACCTAGCAATCAGATAACAGTGACAGTAGAAAAGACAAAATAAAACCAAGTTGCTCTATTAAATTCTTCTGCACGAAGAGGCTATGATATGAACTGACCAAATTCTGCAGGTGAAGTTATATATAACAGAGCGTTATGTTGCCGGAAATAGTTGATCTAACCGTTACAAACCCCGTCGAAATGGTTCCGCAGCCGCATAAACGGAAGTATTGCTTGTTAGTGTAATATTATTTGAATGGCCAAAACATACGGTTTAAGTCACGATCGTATAAAGGTGGAGTTTTGTATTATGTATCTTTGAAACTTACTATCATTTTTGTGTTTATTTTCGTGTAAGATTTTCTAAACCTACCATCGACTGTGTGTATCAAATTTCACACTCTAGTTTGACTTACATCATGTGCTTGGTATATAGGGAGTAACGACTTTGATAAGAAATAATGTGCTTGTTCGGGGCATTTCGAAGTAATGTTAAATTTCAGTTTTCAGCTGTGTAAGGGAAATGAAAGGTAAAAAAGAAAGGTATATTCTATGGTCCCTCGACGAAACCATTCGTCGAAATTTATAACCGTTACATCAACTATTCACGATGGTTACATGATGATCTAACGGTGATGGAATGGTTCCGTAACGAGATTGTAGCATTTCCCAAAAATAAAATATGTGAACACGTGTCGATTCATCCATCTCATCTTGAATCACGAGTCGAGTCAACATGCAAAACACCGAAAATTTCGATGCTGCACATATGTGCAGTGCCTACATGGACTTTTGTACCATTGATTTTACACACACCCACACAAGTGTGTGTGTGTGTGTGTGTTTATGTGTAAATTAACGATGCCGAGCCCATGTGGACACTGCACATATGTGCAATCGAACTTACCCAAAACACCATTAGAGAAAATCCCGACTCCGACTCCGACTCGGTAATCAAACCGTCAGCAATATTGTGATATCTTGGAAGATGCGCTTGTTATATACACGATGCTTCATTTTTTTTCGATTAAAATTATTTTTCTATTGATTTATATATTATATTGAATTTTATTGTATTAATTTATATAATATATTGAATTTTATTCCATTTATTTAATAAAAAAGGTGAATATCTTATGATATATCATATAAGATTTGTTAAAAGTTATGGTGGAACAAAATAAATAAATTTGTGTGGAAAACCTAAAATAGAAACTAATCAGTTTCTGTTGAAATTTTAACAGTTAGTGAAGTTTTTTTTTTTTTTTTTT